AAGCATTGCTCACCCCATCCATTTTCCCCTCCACTCTAAAAGTGCTTCCTTGAGTGCCTCTTGTATTTCCATTCTTCCTCTCTTTTCCCCCTTCTTTCTCCTAGTGCATCCCTCTTTCTCACCCCTTAATTTTTTTAGATCATCCCATCATAGTCAGCTCACACCTGTGCTGTCATCTGTGTATACTCCTAACTGCCCTAATAATGATAACGTTCTTAGGAGTTACAAAATCATCTTCCCATGTAGAAATGTAAACAGTTTAACCATATTAAGTCCTTTATGATTTCTCTTTCATCTTTACCTTTTTATGTTTTTCTTGAGTCCTGTATTTGAATGTAAAATTTCCTATTTAGCTCTGGTGTTTTCATTAAGAATGCTTGAAAGTCCTTTATTTCATTAAATACCCATTTTTCCCCTGAAGGGTTATACTCAGTTTTGCTAGGTGAGTTATTCTTGGTTGTAATCCTAGTTCCTTTGCAAGCCCTCTGCTCCTTTAAGGTGGAAACTACTCAATGTTGTGTGATCCTGACTCTAGTTCCATGATATTTGAATGGTTTCTTTCTGGTTGATTGCAATATGTTCTCCTTGATCTGGGAGCACTGGGATTTAGCTATAATATTCCTGGGAATTTTCATTTTGGGATCTGTTTCAGGAGGTTATCAGTAGATTCTTCCAATTTCTATTTTGCCCTTTGCTTCTAAGATATCAGGGAGTTTTCCTTGATAATTTCTTGAAATATGATTTCTAGGCTCTTCTTTTTTATCATGACTTTCAGGTAGTCCAACAATTCTTAACTGATCCCTCCTCTCTCTATTTTCCAGGTCAGTTGTTTTTCTGATGAGATATTTCACATTTTCTTCTATTTTTCAATCTTTGGACTTTGTTTTATTGTTTCTTGATATCTCATGGAGCCATTATCTGCCATTTAACCAATTCTGATTTTTAAAGAATTATTTTCTTCAGTGAATTTTCGTATAATGACCAAACTTGGCCCCCAAGAAGAAATATGAGATAATACTTCCCATCACTTATTTGCAGGGGTGAGGGACCAAGAGTGGGAAACACTGAAGATGGTATCAGGACTTTCTGATGATGTGTTAGATATTTGAGCTTTTTTTCCCTTTTTTTTGGGGGGGGGGTTATTTTTTACCATAAAAGATGTCTCCCTGAGAGAGAGTAAAAGAAGAGATACATTGGGAGTAGATGATATAAAAACAAAAGCTATGAAAATTTATTTTTAAAAATATATTTCTCCAATTATTTAATAATTATTTAATTGTCTTTATTTCTTTAAAGAATGTTTTACAGTTGTATTAATATAATTCTTGTGTATATTTTAATAGCTGGACTTCCAAATATTTTGTATATTCTCTAATTACCTTAAATGACAGAAGATTGGAAAGGTAGAAAGGGACATAAAGGAATTAAATACCACACTGAGAACTGATTCAACCTGCTCACCTTATTCCTAGAAACATTCCAATCATAACTTAGTCACTATCTCATTAATCATATATTCTTCAATTTCCTAATTTGGTACTTCCCTTTCTAAACACTGTACTATTTTACTACTGTTCCCATTCATCCTTCAGCTCTATACCATCCCCAATTTATTCTTCCTCTCTTCAACCTAGCTTTAAGAATATCAATTGGCAGCTAGGTTGCTCAGTGGACAGAGTGCTGGGCTGAAAGTTAGGAATATGAGTTCAAATGTGATGACAGACACTTAGTAGCTATGTGACCCTGGGCAAGTGATTTAATCTCAGTTTGCCTTAGTTTCCTCATCTGTAAAATGGGAGTCATAATAGCCCCTACCTTCCAAGGTTGTTGTAAAGATCAAATGAGATAGTGATTCTAAAATGCTTAGCACAGAGCCTGGAACAAAGTAAGTACTATGTAAATGTTAGTTATTGTTGTTGTTACTACTACTATTATTATTATCAATATTGTTATTATATCAGCCTACCATACTTCTCTTGTTTGGAGAACATGACTATGAGACCTGCTTGCGTGTCTGTGGTCCAACTCTCCCTTATGTACACAAGTAATAAAAAATTAATAAAAATGCTTTAAGTCAGTAAAACGAGAAATACAACACCTATTGACAGAGTATGTATAACGTATACAGTGTATGTAAGTAGAATATGGAATGGAAAATGTAAAAACTTTAGTAAAACATTGATTGTGCACCAAGAATGAAGCTAAGCTCTGAGAATATGAATAGAAAAGTGAGACAGTCCCTACTCTGAAAAATCTCATGTTCTATTTGAGGGAGAAAATAAAGAAAGGAAAGATCATTTGTAGGGTGGATGGAAGGACTGAGTTGTTCTTAAGGGGCACTGTTAAGAAGGGGAGATCCCAGCAGGATAGAGGTGGGCAGGGTTTGCACTGGGGTCATTGGCAGAAGGACTCTTACCACTTCTCTGGTGGTCTCTGGGCCAGCAGAGTTCAGGGTGGGATGGGTAGGAGACAAATGATGCCCGTACTATCCAGTGTTTTCTATTTGCCAACATCATGGTAGTCTCTAGGCAGGCAGGTCTCAGGGTGAGGTTATTAGAGGATAAAGAAGTCCTACATTGATCCAGATGTTACCTGGTGTTATATGTGTTATGTGACCTAAATAATTGGTCTATTGATGCAACAATGATGTGTCCTGATATGTTATTTGTGATATTATGCATTGTATATAGCATATGACCTATATTTGGTCTACAACCTGCAAATGTGATTTGTTTTGTATGCTGTTTTTCTGCATGTGACCCATGTGTTTTATCTATTGCTATAATTTTAAAGTGGGTTTAAGTACTATTGCTGGGTGTTTGGGGTGGATACCTACATCTGGGTTATGTGCAAACTGTTATCTGTTATTGTGGGCACCTACAAGTTCTATCTGTGTACCAGGTGTGATTTGTCAGGCTCACAAAATCTTTACTGAAGGAAGAGTGTAGGGAGGGCAACAACTCTGTTACTGTCAAGAATTCAGGACAAAAGATCACAAGAGCCACCCAGTTACTTTTAGTCTTGCTAAATAAAGCTCCCAGGTGTTTCACATGGACCGCAAGGAGCATGATGGTGGTCAAAAGAAATATTCTCACCCTGAATGAAATAATAGATCAAGGAGTGGTAGCTGAGGCAGAAGCAAAAGAGTGCCAAAGACAGACCAAATCTAAGCTTTTGGACTCCTACTATCATTTGTGTATGGCTGGGTGGGACTATGGGCTTGAACTCACAAAAGGAGCAGAAATAATCTGTCTAGAGTCAAAAGAGCTGAGGCCCATTCCTGTGAAGAAGGCTGCAAATCAGCGCAATTCAAGATACAACCAGTAGATGACAGTAAATAAAGGCATTGAACCTGAGGAGAGCAGCCCGGCCAGAGTTCACTGTGGAGGACCACACAGCCAGATTTCAGCCTCCCTCCTTGTACTTAATGACGTCAGAGATTCTGCAAGGGAACAGCTGGCAGAAATATAAAAGGGCTCCAGATGATGATGAAGGGTTCCAGTTGGGATGCAGCCTTAATATTACAAGGTGTCTGAGGCTATGCATGAAATCCTGGACAGTGGTATGATGATTCATAGGGAAACATACCACTCTCTATATGGATTAGGGAAGTAGAATTTACACGTAATTTATTTTGCTTTGCTATTTAAACAAAGTGTTTGAATGAATGTATCATCAGGTTAGTCTTGTAAAATGCACATTATTGGGGGCTCATGGGCTATAGTTTTGAGTAGATTGTAGCCTAAAGTATTCTTTGACCTTGAGGCAGCTTTTCAGGGACCCTGAGGCAGGGCAAGTCTGGGCTGCACTGGGAATTTTTTGTGCCCATGGCAAATTCATTTGGGGGTGCAACACAGAGAACAATCTACTCCAGTTGTATTCATGACAGGAGAAAGAGAAGCCTGTTTCTGACAGAGTCCAACCTGCTCTCCTGAGGCTTAGTCCTAAACTCTACAACCTTCAGGAACAGGCAGGAAGGGATATGGACTCTAGTAGAGGAGTCCTTTGACCTGAGGATGAAGAAAGGAGTAGACCGTAGGGATGGTAGGCCAGAGAATTGTCAAGAGATAAAATGTGCCCCGCCCAGATGTCAGTACCCTGTACCTGGTTGTCCCACCCTGGTTACGTGCTCATCACCCTGATGAAACTACTATGTGTTCACTTAACCTTAAAAACTCCAGCATGCTGAAACACAAGGCTTAGTCAGATGACTGATACTGTCCCAAATCTAGGACAATATTTGGTCCAAACTATAATCTGCCTTGTGTGAGGGAATAACTGCTGTGTGACCCTCAGAAAGTATTCAGTGAGCCTGGATATGAAGAAACATGACTATTCAGTAGAATCTTCTGCACCACTACTGAAGGAATTTTCCTAAAGTCTAGGTCTAACCATGTCACTCCTCCACTCACTAAATTCCAGTGTCTTCCTATTACCATTAGGAACCAATATAAACTCCCCTATTTAGCTTTTAGTCCTTCACAGCCTTGCCCCAACTTCCTTTCCAGCATTATTACATATTACTCCCCCTCACAAACAGGAACATTCTCCATTTCCCACCTCTTTGTACTGGCTGGCCCCACTTGTGGAATTTACTCCCTCTTCCCCTCTGCCTCTTAGAATCCCTACTCTCCCTCAAGACCAAGTTTAAGCACCCTTTACATGAGGCCTTTCAGGATCCCCACCTCCCCCGACCCCAGCTGGACTGTCCTTCTCCATGACAAATCACTCGGTATGTGTTTGTATCTCTCTTGTATATTGTCCCCATAGATAGAACATAAGCTCCCTTTAAGGCAGAGACTATTTTACTTTTGTCTTTGTGTCCTTAGTACATAGCCCAGAGCTGGCACATAGTAAGAACTTAAATCAATCCTTGATTCATTGATTGATTAGTTGGATTTTTCAATGCTCTATGCAGAACTCTAACAACTGATCTATCACGGTGTTTATGGGTGAGCCCAATCCAGTACAATCAAAGGATAGACACCATCATAATAATATCTGCTTTGAACTCAATTTATTAAATGTATTACAATGGATGAAAGGAATTCAAGGGCCCATCCCAAGAGAGAGGTTTCCACAATGTTCTAGAGGTTTGTTGGGAACATGCCCAGTGGGCCTCACATTTGGGCATCCTACTGTCTATTGTCTTGAGGCTGCTTCAGTCTAGCTGCATCTCAACCAAAATATGTCAGGGCCCCCTGAAAGGCAAAGAAGACAGTGAGTGCCAACATTAAATCTCTCTCTGAAAAACCACCAGAAAGAACCCCGTTCACATAAATAAATAAAAAACATGTATTACATGTTACAATGTTCCAGCATTATGATAAGCACTGGGGATACAAATACAAAAATGCAAAAACAGTCTCTGTCCTCAAGGAGTTTACATTCTAATAGGATTAGAGAGATAGATAAGGTAGATAGCTAGGGAGAGACAAAGAGAGAAACAGAGACAGAGAAATATGGAAGTGGTAGCCAGGGATAGGTGTTTTGGTCTGTAAACTCACAGGGATAGTGAATGGGAATCATAGGATAATTGATTGACAGGTCCTTTCCAGGAATTGTAATATTGATTTGATTACTGTTCCCAGAGCGAAAGCCACAGACAGACACAGTGCCTCACATGCTAAGGATCCAGAGACTGCTGTTGTGATTCGACTGGATTTAGTCCCTTTTACCCCAGCCAACACTAGATTTAATGTTGGGAAGGCAGGGGGTCATAGAATCTCCGAGTTGGTGGGCACCTCAGAGATGGTCTAATTTAATCCATGCTAGAGCAGGACCCCTTCCTACAGCACATAGCCAACCTCTGCTTGAAGCTCACCAGTAATGGAGAACCATTACTTCCTAGAGTCAGGGAAATGAAAGGGAATAAACATGTATTTAGCTAGGCACTGGGCAAAGTGTTTTTACAAATATTATCTTATTTGATCCTTGAAACAACCATGAGAAGTAAGTGCTGTTATATTGTCCTCGTTGTATGCATTGAGGAAACTCAGGCAAACAGAGGTTAAGTGGCTTGCCCAGAGTCACACAGCTAGTGTCTAAGGCCAGATTTGAACTCAGGACTTCCTGACTCTAGGCTCAGTGCTCTCTCCACTGCTCTCCCAGCTGGCCCATTCCACTTTTAAACATCTCTAGTTATTAAGAAGTGTTTCCTTATGTAACAACTTGAAATCCTTTCTCTGCAATGTTCACTTATTGCTCCAAATTCTGGCATGTGGGGCTAAGCAAAACAAGTCCAATTTTTCTTTCACATGGCAGCCCTTCAAGATATAGTCATTCAGTTGTTTTTCACTCGTGTCCAACTCTTTGTGACCCCATTTGGGGTTTTCTTGCCAAAGATACTGGAGTGATTTCCCATTTCCTTCTCCAGCTCATTTTACAGATGAAACAAACAGTGTTACATGACTTGCCCAAGGTCACATATCTAGTAAGTGTCTGAAGTCAGATTTGAACTCAGGAAGAGGAGTCTTCCTGACTCCAGACCTGGCACTCTGGCATCACCTAGCTAGAAGCTTGCTATCGTGTTTCCATGAGCCCTCTCTTTTCCAGACTAAACATCCCTACTTCCTTCTATTTGACCCCACATAGCAAGATTTCTAATCCTCTGATGATGGGAGGGACCAAGATAGGATGGAAAAGGAGGGAATTGAGATGGACTGGGTAAGGATGGGAGATAGTAGAAAGGAGTCAATAGTACACAGTCTCTTTGAGGGCAGGGACCATTTTCATTTTGTCTCTCTATCTCCAGGGCCTAACACAACAGCCTGCACATAGTAGGCACTTAATGAACCCTTGGATTAGATTGGACTAGATTAGAAGGGAAGGAAAAAGAAGATCAGAGTAATCAAGGGAGAGATTTAAGTCTGCAATTTGTCTCATTTTAGCTTTCCAGCAAAGGCTAGGTAAAGAGGGTAGAGACAGCTATCAGGTCATAATAGGGAATACCAAACTTGAAACCTCATGAACTGAGAATTGTGAAATCAAAGTTTCACTGATAGCATAGGTATGTTTTGACCAATCCTTGCCTCTGTCTCCCCATCTATATAATGGACACAGCAGGGGCTAGTTACAGAACTTTGGCTCTTTGAAAGCTATCTACACATGCAAAAGGAGGCGCAAGCTACAAATCATCTTGATAATTTGGTCAGAGAAACACTTTCACTTGAAAAACCCATAGAACTGCGGCTTGGCCCAGAATCAGGGGACACGCGGTTTGGCCTATGGAGCTTGAATTCTCCTCTGTGAGGGAGACGTAATGAAAACACTGGGGGCCACTAGGTGGCACAGTGGATAGAGCTCTGGCCTTGGCGTCAGAAGGACCCGAGTTCAAATCCAGCCTCAGACACTTGACACTTACTAGCTGTGTGACCCTGGGCAAGTCACTTAACCCCGATTGCCTCACCAAAAAGGAAAAAAAAAAAAGCCACTGCCAACACCCAGAGCGTGATTCTTACCAGCAAGGTCTTCAGTGCTTCCACAGACTCAGGTCCTAGCTCCTGCACACACTTCTTGGACCCTTCCACCAGGTGGTCCACAGGGATCCCCAGGCTTCTCAGGATTAACCTGAGCAGACCGAAGTTGCTGAGGACAGGGTTAGGGACTGACTCCACCACGGGCTTGACCACGGCTTTCTGGATCTCAGGAGGTAGGGTGGGGGGTCGGGCTAGAAAACCCTTGAAAAAGGCAAGAGCTGCAGAACACAGAGCCACATGGTGACACAAGGGTATTGTGATGCACACGATGTGGGGTGGTGCGTTGTAATGATGCATGTTGTGCTCATGTGTGTGCGACGTGTGTGTTACAATAGACAGCACTCAGTATGATGTTCATTGCAAGTGTGTGGACATGGGTGGAGTTTATTGTGATAGACAGACAGAATGCCTTGGTGTTTGTCGTGGTAAACTAGACTGTGATTGTATCCGTTAAGATAGACAGCACACACTTCCTCTGTTCTTTACAGTAATGAGTGACCATGGATGTGTGACATGGGGTGTATGTGTGTGTATATGTATATATATGTATATATGTATGCATGTGTATATATATGTATTTGTATATATATGCACACACACATATATATACAGGCTTAGAGAATAAGTTGGTTAACTTTGCTTCACTAATTTTATTCTCTCTTGTTTATTCTTTGGTATGAGGAGTAGCTGTCTGGGAAGGGTAAGGAAAAGGTATATATCATTGGAAATGTTATTGAGTTGTTACAGTTGTGTCTGACTTTTCATGACCCCATTTTTGGGGTTTTCTTGGCAAAGATCCAGGAGTGACTTGCCATTTCCTTGCCCAGCTCATTTTACAGATGAAGAAACTGAGGCAAACAGGATCGAGTGACTTGTCCAGGTCACCCTGCTAAGGAAGTGTCTGAGGCCAGATTTGAACTCAGGAAGATTAGTCTTCCTCATTCCAAGTCCAGTGCTCTAACCCCCATGCAACCTAGCTGCCCTTAATTGGAAATGTAGGTGATGTCAAAATAAAAACTATCAACAAATATTTTAAAATAACAGACAGAGTTTATGAAACGGAGAGCTGATATATCTCCTCATTACCATACCCTTCTCCTTTCTCTACCTTTAGCCCTGTTCTTCGGCCTCTGCCCTCCTCCTTCACCATCCAATAAGATAAATAATAAGATAAAAAAAAATAAGATAATAAGATGAAAGAAACCACTGATGTCTCTGGGGCCTGCATTAATTCTCTGACCCAGTCCATTTGCTTAAAGCAATATCAGGGATTTGCCGAGACCAAAATTTGTTCTAATTTCCTATAAGCAAGTTTGAACCTTTTCTAGGCTTCCACACTACCACTGCTACGGGGTGGGAGTATTTATAGGTAAGGGTGGTGGAATAACGCCTCTACTGTCAAAGGGCCCTGGGGTGGCAAAGGGGGCTCTCACAAGTTCCCACAGAAAGTAGATGAGGAGACAAGCAGAAGATTGCTGGCTCTGGAAACAGAGGACCCAGGTTCAAATTCTGCCTCTTAAGTCCTGTTGGGCAAGTCCTTCCTTTGGCTTCAGTTTCCTCCTCTATATAATAGGGGAAGGGACTAGAAGTCCTTTTTAGCTCTAGAGCGGGGATCCTGTGACCCTTGTCCCAGCCAAGTTCAAAAAGTGACTTACCTGAACTACTACATAGAGCCAAGATAGCCATCAGAAAGACCATGGTCAGCTTCATGCTGGAGAGGAGAGTGGGCTGGGTTCAGTCTGCAGCACACCCTGGAGTCTCTGCTGGGCTCTCCCTGTGTTCCTCAGATATATAGAGAGCCCCTGCCCTGCCCGTGGAGAGGACACTGACCACATTCTAAATGGGTCAAGACTCTGCTCTGTTTGCTTAGCTATTGAGTAGATGGAAAAGGCCAATTTCCCATAATCTCTCAAGAGGCAGGTGGGGCTCAGGGCCTCGGGCACTACTTGAGGATGAGGTCTGTATCTTCCTCTTGGCAGCCCTTCCAGAAACTAGAAAAGGGAACAAAAGAATAGCATGTAGTTTCCTGTTCCCATCCCACCTGTTGGTGAAGTCTGACTCTTTCATACGAAGGGGTCCATGTGAGGTTGAAGCCTAAGTCTGAAAAGTCCCCAAATTCATGTGGTTCAATCAATACCACAGATGACTCAGAAGTAAACAATGAGGACCCACCTCAGGGAGAAATGTGAGTTCGAAATCCAGGCTGGAGAAATCAAGTCCTTAGTTCCCCAGTGATCAAGGGTGATCGTCTTTAGGACTAGAGAGCTCTCTTCTCAAGGTAGATCACAGCCAGAGCAGCGTCCACCGAAGAACTGGCAACGTTTGGTCCAGGGAAGAGGCTAGTCAGGGGCATGTTGGTCAGCTTCAAGTATCTGAAGGACCACCACAGGAAAGAGGCTTTCAAGTCCCAGGGGTGGGGAACCTGTGGCCTCAAGCCACACATGGCCTTCTACATCCTTGGGTACAGCCTTTTGCCTGAGTCCAGGTTTTGCCTGATAACACTATTTTGTGCGTTGTCCCTCATGCCTAGCCCTTTGTGGTCTCTGGACCTCTCATTCTCCCCACCATGGACCATCTGCCTGTGCCCTGAAGGTCCCCTTTACTGCTCACGTCCCGTTTGATGCTGCCTGTTGGCTGAGCATGGACTGGGCCAAGGCAGGAATCTGGTCTCCCTGAGCTCCCAGTGCGTGCTACTCCTGAGCTTCTGACAAAGTGGACATCCTTCTAATCTGTTCTCCTGATGTTGGCAGGGAGCTATGTCTCGAGTTTCCTGCTACCATCTAGGATGCCTGGAGAGCTCCTTACTACGGAAGGCTTTCTGCTCCCTCACTTCTAGGGGCCTAGGTTCAGGACAGGGTCAAGGAGAGGAAGGGCTAGAATGGACCTCAACCCCAACCTTGGAGTTAGAACAGGGCCTACTCTACACCTATGAGCTTGGAGGCCAAGAGGGCACCCAGGCCCCGGACCATCTGTGCCCATGCCAACCTGGTCTCATGTCCTTTCTTTTCAGCCTCCCTCCAAAAGTAGAATGTGCCGTGGACCCTGGGGTGAGGGAGACTTTGGTGCTCCAAGCTCCTTGGGAGCAGGGTCATGGCTGCCTTTTCCCTGCTCAGGAAAGTGAATCATCACAGAGGTGTGAATGTGTTTGCAGGACAGCATCTGTGCCAAAATAAATACCCAATGCCCTTCCTAGGACTGCATATGATGTGAGGATCTGCGAGTCTTTAAGGTAACATGAATCTGAGATATTTTTCCCATGACCCAGGAACCTCTTGAGATTTATCCTGAAGATCTAGGATGTGCCCAGGGATTTCTGCCTGGCCTGTGTCACCTGAGTCATTAGGATCCAAAACCTAGCAAACCTCAGACCTCCCTAGGAGGTTCCCTTAAAGTGGGGTCTGACCCATCATCCCTGGGTACACAAGGGAAGCAATACAAACTAAGTGGGTGGGGAGAGAGGAGCTCCCCTATAGCTTCAACCATGTCAGGCCCCTGCATGTGCTCTGGAGGACCCATAGTTCTGGGCACTCGACAGAGAGAAAAAGATCAGCCACTAAACCAAGGCTTATGTGCACACCATTCAAGGACAGCTACTAGCCTACCTTCCCATCTCTATGAAATGGTTTGGGGAATAGTCTACACCCACTTTGGGAAATAGTCTACACACACTACCCTCGAGGGTATCAGAAAGGAACACAGTGACTTTTGCAAGCAATCTCTCGCAGTAGATCACATCTTCACCACCACACAATCGAGTGAAGGCTGTGCAGAATACAATCCCCATCGTGTTGATTGTTTGTTGACTAAAAAAGTCATTAAGGAGAACATAATGCCACCTTCATGGCTCTCCTCCAATGAGGCATCTCTCATGTAGCCACACAAATATCATGTAAGGATCCTTGAAAGATATGACTACAGAGATAAGCTTGTTCTATGATCATTAATGTAAGGCAAGGGATAAAGCAGAGGGACCTAAGTACCCAAAGGTGCTCACCAGGGTCCTGGAAGAAATCCAGCATTGCGTCAGAGGAGGGATTCCCTCTAGATTGTGAGGTCCTTCAGATTCTCTTCTTTGTCAGTCACATTATGGTAATTGCATCAAGTCTCAAAACATCACAGGGCTTCCTGGACATAATCCATGACCACTGAGAAGATTATGGCCTGACTATCCATACAGGAAAAACTAAGTGGATGAAGAATGTCTGTTGTCCAAATTATATTATATGCAGTTGAATGTAGATCCTATAGAGCTTATCCAACTCTGTGTGTATGTGAGTGTATCTTATACAAATACTGCAAATGTACAATGAATTGGACCCAGCATTGAACAGCAGGAGAAAAGTGGAGTAGATTGCCTTTGGAAAATTGCTATTGTCTTAATGACCCCAAACTTCTTGAAACAAAAGCCTGTGTTTTTAATATTGATTCCTCTGATATTATTGTATGGCTCTGGGACATAGAGAGAAAAGAAGCATAGGTCAAGAATTCTCCCCTGGAACCTCAAGGTAGGTCACTGGTCCTGGTAAGACCCGGGGTAAGAAGGGTCTGCCCAGAGGCCCTGGAGCTTCTGAGACCTTCCGGGACCCAGAGTCTGCTACCCTGTGGGGAGACTACCTCAGCAGCAGAGCATACTCCATAGTACTTCCCGCTCTACTCTGCTCCATTACAGAAGAAGATGCTGCTGTCCCTGTAAGCTCCTTCCTGCCCGTGAATGCTGCTCTGCCTGGCTTCCAGAGAGCATGGAAAAGATGCTTTTACCTTCAGGGAGCTGATCCCTAGACTGTCCCTTCCATATAGGAAATTCTCCTTTAACTATATACCATGAGAGCTCATATACATAGTGGCCCTGTTAAATGGGCAACCCATTCCTATGAGGCCTGCAAAAAAAAAAAAATGTGCAGAGAGAGGCAGCCCAGAGGATCACAGAGCTGTATCTGAAGGAGATTTCAGAGGTGATCTCGTCCAACTCCCGTGTTTTACAGCTGAGGAAATTGAGGACCAGGGAGGTTAAATACAAGGTCATACTAGTAGTATCAATTTAATCTCAAGTCCTCTGACTCCACTGCCAGTGTTCTTTCCACTGGACCATAAGCATGGACTCTGTACTACATGATGTAGCATTGTGCTCGTCTGATCCCCCCAGTGATCCTGACCCCCATGCTCATTCCAGCCCTTCTCCACCACAAGGAATTCCTGTGTTTTCCACTTATCCTCACCACTTAGCACAGTGCCTGGAACGTTGTTGTTGTTGCTGCTGTTGTTACTGTTCAGTCATTTCAGTTGTGTCTGACTCTTCATGACCCCATTTGGGATTTTCATAGCAAAGATACTGGAGTCATTTGCCATTTCCTTCTCTAGCTCATTTTATAAATGAGAAAACTGAGGCTAACAGGGTTAAGTGACTTGCCCAGAGTCATACAGCTAATAAGTGTCTGAGGTTGATTTGAATTCAGGTCTTCCTGACTCCAGACCCAGAGCTCTATTCCCTGCACCACCTAGCTGTCTATAGCCTGGAACATAGTAAACACCTAATAAATGCTTAAGGACTGACTGACTGACCCACGATGTGATCCAAACTAACCCGTGTTCTTCGTGATCTTGGAGATTAGGAATGGGATTTCAGGCAAGCTGGAAGCCCAGCTGAATTCCACTATGGCACATTTTAGGATCGTAGGAGCCAGAGCTGAAAGAAACCTTAGAGGTCATCTAATCCTAATCTCTCATTTTACAGAAGAGGAAAAAAGATACAGAGAGTTCATGTGACTTGCCTAAGGTCACACAATTAGTAAATAGGAGAGCTGGGATTCCAACCTGTCTTCTGATTCCAGATCAAAAACAAAACAAAAAACAGTCATCTCTTGTGTTAAGTGTATAATACAATCAGCTGACTGATTCAGAGTTTTAAGAGACCTTTAAAATCTAGTCCAACCTAAAGAGGTTGTGATTCATCCAAGGTCACACAGGTAGAAAGAGGCAGAGCCAGAATTCATCCTCTATCCTCCTCCCTCTTTCCACTGCTATGCTACAGGTCTTATTATTCCTACTAGATTGTAGGCCACTAGGTGGATAGAGCACCAGGCCTGGAGTCAGGAAGACATCTTCCTGAGTTCAAATCTGGTCTCACACATTTACTAGCTATGTAACCCCTGGGCAAGTTACTTAACCCTGTTTGCCTCAGTTTCCTGATATGTAAAATGAGCTGGAGAAGGAAATGGCAAACCACTCCAGTATCTTTGCCAATGAAACCCTAAATGGGGTCACAAAGTTGGCCATGACTAATGAACAAAACAACCACAAAGATTGCAAGAGTCTTGAGAAGAGAGAGAACCCCCACATTTACAAAGCAAGTCTAGTGTACTAATGATCTTTATGTCCTCCTAGGCTGAGCATAAAACCCTGTACGTGACAAATACTTAAGCACTACTGAATTAAATTGAACTTGGTAAATATTTGGGCCACCCTACCTTGTGTTTCCCTGAGGGGTTCATCTATGGAATATCAGCACCCGCATCTTCCACCCCCACTTAAATGCGCCAACCTTGGCACATAGCTATTTCCTCTTTCCTTGTTCCAGAGACATATCTGCCATCAGATGCCTCCCCGACTAACATAGCTAATGGCCTGTACTCTTCCTAGGCCTTTCTCCAGGCTGCTCTCACAAGTAAATATTGACTATGTCTCTAAAGGCACTTTGCTCTCACCATTCCCGAAAGTGCTCCTTTCTCTTAGGGATCTGGCTCTCAGTGACCTGGTCCTAAGTGGGAGCTGGCATCAGGCCAAGC